GCTCAGCCAGGACCGGAAATCATAGCAATCACTGAAGCTCGGCTCGATCAAGCTAAATCGCCATTGTGGAATGCTCTAGCTTTCTTGCTAAAGCTTGCTATCGAGCGCTCGGTAGCTGGATTGGGTTCACGGGGATGGTGGTGAATGGAGGGGACGAGAAATTGGCGGTGCCCAGATTGCAGTTCGGACGGCATAGGTTGAAGACAGAGTAAAGAGAGGAGCAAGGGGGCTAATCAGGAGTTCGAGATCATAAATGGTGGCAGTGGTTGGCGGTGGAGGGTGATGGTGCCCAGGTACCGCTATGGAGGCAGGATTTGAAGGTAGGATAGAAGAGGGGAACAAGAGTATTAGTCAGGAGTTCGAGGCAAAAACTGGAGATAGCAGTAAAGAGAAAGAGGCAACACAGCAGCACAAAGAAAAGTAAATTAAAGAAAACTTAAAGTTATGAAAAAAGACGAAAAAGAAGCGAAACTACAGAATCAGAAAGAACCTATTAATAAAAGCTAAAGAAAGCAAATGCAAATAAAAACTGAACTTATGCATGTGGAAATTCTTCTACAAAAACCCGCCCACAACAGTAGGCTTCCCCATTTATGCTGATGCTTAGGTAAAGCTGAGAGCTCTCAGCTTTAACTAAGTAACTAAGGTTTTTATAGGACAATTTCCACTCGCATATGCTCAGTTTTCTTGCTTTATTTTGCTTTTATCCGTAGGTTCGCTTTTTTTTTACTTTTCTTTTTTCGCTTTTATTTATAAATTCATGTTTGCTTTAACTTACTTTACTTTGTAATGCTGTGTTATCTTTTCTTCTTTTCTGCTGTTTCCAGTTCTCATCTCGAGCTCCTAGCTTGTATCTCGTTCCCCTTCCCTACTCCGTCCCAAAATCTTGCCCACAAAGCAACATTTGAACTTCTCTCCATCCCTACTACAAGAGCATTTTGGAAACAAGCAGCATTTCACTGCTTTCCCAACCCCAGTTATCCTCAGCGAAAAACCAGAAGTAATTTTCCTCATTTCTAATCATCACGCCCCCTCCCCCTCTTCCTTCTAAATGTACGTGAACTAGCTAACCGCCAAGGAATCTACGCCACATACCCTCAAGTCCACCGATTCCAGCCCTCTCCACTGTGTAGCACCAAGCGAAATAAATGGCAACGCGCACCAGACTAGCCGGTGCGACCATGCGTTATGTGCAATTCAGCCCATCGAACGATTGCCTATTAATGATTTTCACTGCTTTGTACTTTAGTCTATG